TGTATAAAAAAAATACACTTTAGACTATGAATTTATAAAAAAACCCATGTGAATAATGAATTTGACATGCATGTTTATCAAAACAACAACAACAACAACAACAATAATAATAATAATAATAATAATAATAAAAGAATTTGACATGCAATTAGCTATATTGATTAAAAATTTGTATTTTTTAAGCTATATTCTAAACTAGATTATTCCATTATTAAAATATGTTTCTAGTTAAGTTAAACATTTCTCGCTTGGAAGTTGAAAAAATGGGGAATATATACAATCTCTAATCCTTGTATATGATTCTTCTCGGATAATCTCATGACTCTAGGTTACATTTATAAATTTCGACAATGTTTTTAAATTACATTCTTATTGAAAGGTTTGCACCTACTCCTGTTTTCTTTTTCAATAAAATGATCTGTACCAGTTACATTATGACTTTGATCATTATTCATTAATATCCACTCTAATTTTTTTCTAATTCAAACCCAAGGAGAAAAAGAAGACCATGGGAATGCAGTCGTTGTAATGCTGAAGCAAGACTAAATGGGGTCTTCTGTCGGACATCCCTTCTACGGGCTATATATTGCCCTTCTTAGTTCATAATTTGTCAGTAGATAGAACAGTTCTTGTTCAATTACCCTTACTTTCCAAGTGTTGTTTTTCATTTTTGCAGAATGGTGTTAGAGGATTCATGCTCGATATGTATGATTTCGAGAATGAAATCTGGTTGTGTCATTCATTTCGAGGAAAATGCCTCAACGTAACAGCTTTTGTAAGTGCTCATTAGTACATTTATGGTTAACATTTAGATTATTTCTACTAAGTTCTTGCAAAATTATGACTAAATATATGTCAAATTATTTTTCATTACATTTTGGATGTATCTTATTGATAAACTAGATCTCACTGCACTTTGCGCGCTTCATCCATATTTTTTAAAAAAATTTTATCAATTACAAATTTTTATAATAATAATAATTAACTATATATTATTTTAAAGTATTTTTTTAAAGAAAAGTATGAATGATATTAAGCGTACAAATGTAATCAATTTAATTTTAAAAAATAAAGTCAAAATTTTATAATTTATTACTATCGTAATAAATTATAAAATTTTATCAATCACCTTTGTTTATTTTTTCTCTCTATAATAATAAATTATTTGGTGTTCTTGTTTCTCTCCCTTATCATCTCTCCCTACCTCCCATCCTTATCTATTTCAAATTCTTTTTTTTTTTTCAATTTTTTACATTAAGATCATATCTCTCTATATTTTTCTTTGAGGCACCTTCAATTCTCTAGTTTGTTTCAATATCATGCTACGTACACTTACATTATTGTTATGCATTTTAATTGATGCTTAACTTAATAAATGTATTTTTCATCATTTCTCTTTCTTCAACTGATATTTTTTCATATTAGTTTACAATTCCATTACTTTTTTAAAAAAAATCTATTTCGCCTCTATATTCTCTCATATTTCCTTTGTAAATCCATTTCTATATTACTAATTTGTTTTTTATTATTCTTTATCCCTTGTCATCCACTCCGTATTATCCTTTCTTAATTATTTGTTGCATATATATCTTTTTTAACCCAATTTATCTTCCCCCTCTTTATATATATTAAAAATGTTTTTAAATCAAAATATAAAAGGTATAACTTATTAGCATTATTCTTTTGGTATTTAAATTTTTACTTACTTTTAGTCCACCTCTCATTAATTTTTATTGAGATTTCATTTTTCAGCTTCCCCCTCATATTTTATATCATTTTATTTATTTCTCTACCTTACATATTATTTTTTCTTTTATTATACTTCCATCGCTATTATTCTTTCTTAGATATCTTCTGTATCTCAATTTATTAAAGTATATCATATTTTTACCCTTTTTTTTTTTATTTCAACATGTTTTTATTAAAAAGTTTTTTGTCAAAATATAAAAGATGCAACTTCTTAGCATAATTCAACTACTACCTTTTTAGTTGCCTTTACTCCAATCCTATTATTATTTTTCTTAGAACTCTATCTATTAGCTTCCCCTCTCACATTCTATCATTATATTTCTCTCTATGCTACATTCCTCATCTTTCTTTTCCTCTCTATATTGATAATTTGTTTGTTATCATATATCTTATCTTTCTCTCCATATTATTCTTTTTTAGTTACTCCATGCATCTCTATCTATCATTTTTTTATTTCTTTTCTACCCCCCCCCCCCCCCTCTCTCATTGTTTATATTACAAACATTTTAAGGCAAAACATATGTGGCACAAGTTTTGAATACTATTCTCTAATTCTTTTTCACTTATTCTTGCTCTACTTCTCTCATTTTTAACTTTTCTTGCAACTGATTTCTCAGCTTCCCACTTAACATTTTATCATTTATTTATCTCTACCCTGCATCTACCTTTTCTTTACCTCTGTAGATTATAAATTTACTTTTTATTATTCTTTTTCCCTTCATCCTGGCCTCTTTATTGTTCTATTTTAGTCATTCCTTGGGTCTCAATATATCATTATATATATCTCTTCTTTATCCCAAATTTTCTCTCTACCCTTCTCCATTATCTTTCCTTCTATATAAATTTTTTTATTAGTCACTTATTTCATCTCTAATTAATTTTAGTTGAGACTCCAGTGAAAAAATTTTGTAGGTTGTATTGTGGGTATATTGTTTGATGGTGATGAGAATATTCATTTGAGAAGTGTTTTGCAATTTTAAATAGTATGGGTAGAAGTATCTCTTGTACTCTTCTTTATTAATAAATTCATTTTATTTGGTTGCTCAAAAAAAGAAAATGGTTGAGACTTCATCTCTCAGTTTTTCCCTTAACATTT